TGGCCAGGCCCAGATGTGTCATCCCGAGGGTGCCCCCTCCAGGAGCTGAGCTTGCTGGGAGCGGCTTCAGGGAGACTTTAGCTTGTTTCCACTTTGGGACAGTCAATCCTCCGACTGTCGTGGGAGACAGAGGGTGCTGTTTACACAGAGCTTCTCATGAGCCTGCAGGAGGACAAAGAGCCCTCAGAGGGCAGGGGGCTTCGGGTGGGATGGGGAGAGTGGCAGCCCTCCTGCTGTCTCGGGCTACGGGAACTCCTGGGGGAGGGAGGGTCCCCTCAAGGAGCACACTCAGGATGCCACTGGGTGCTTGTGCCCCCGAGTACGCAGGGAGGAGCCCCGGCCCCTCCAGACCGCAGGAAGCAGGCAGGGGAAGTAGCTGCGTTTGAAGGGGCTTTTCGGAAGGGTTGTCTTACTGATAACATCTCGGCTGTCTCCTCTGCTGGAGGAAGTGACAACACAGACGCCAGCCCCAGCGCCGCCTGCCCCTGCCCTCGCGCCCAGCCCTCGCGGAGGGTGGGCTTCTTACTCCCCAAAACCCACTGGCCCTGGGAGGAAGCCGGGGGCCACACAGTCATGACCCTTCCTCGTAACTGCAGCTGCCAAAGTGATGGCGGCCGGTGGAGGAAGCTGTGTGCCCCTGAGGGGTGGCGTGCTCTCCGTGAAAAAGCATTTGTTTTGAATTTTAGCTCTCGATTGACTAATTCCCGAGGCTTCAGAGTCCGCGCCCTTTCTTCTTGCCTTCGGAGCTGGAGCAGGCGATTACTGCTGCCGGGTGGAGGGAGGCTCTAGACGCTGGGGGGAGGCCCGGGCCCTGCTGGCTTGCGAGCTGCCGCCCCAGGGTGGCTTCGCTGGCTCTGGTCCAGGCCGGGGTGTGTAAGCAGAGGAATCCCAGGCCGGCTCCTTGTCCAGAAGTTGATCGGCCGTGGGGGTGTCTTTGCCGGGGAGAGCAGGGGGGGTGCCCCGGGGGTGGAGGCTGCCCGACTGGGAGCCCAGCCTCCTTGTGGTGGGGGATCCTGGCCCCTGGGTGGGGAGCAGAGAAGAGGCCCGCGGTCTCCTCTCCGCCCTCGCCTCCCGGAGCGCCTCACAGGCCTGTGTGCCGTCTTCCTTCCTGTCCTGCCGGCTGTGGCTGCATGAATGGGGCTCAGTCTGGGGAGGAAGGTCGGCCGCGGAGCCAGGGCCTGGTTCTTTTGGCAGGGGAAGAAGGGAACGGAAAACAGCCGAATGTGAAAATGTGGAGCCTTGGCCTGGGCGGGGAGGAGAGCACCGGCCTGCCCCGAGCAGGGTGACTCCAAGGCTGGCCCTTCCCTTTCCTATGCCCTCGGCCCCTGGCTATGGCTGGAATTCCAGCATAGGGCTTTGTTGGGGGCCCGGCCCTTGGGGACTTGGAGTAGGACATGCCCCACACTGCAAGTTTCTTGGGTCTGGGAAAACGGGACAGTTTTTGGAGGCGGTGACTTGGTTCCAGGAACCCACTTTTATTTCTGACAGCTGTCTCTCACCACCGATGAATTGCTGGGGTGCAGGCTTATGTGGGGCTGGGGGGGCGGGTGTCTGCACAGACAGTCCTATGCGCCAATGCCTGCAGGCTTTGGGGTGCGCTGGGGTCCCTCTGCACGGTGGACGTCAGGTGGCCCCCCAGGAGGACACGGCCTCCTGTGACAGGAGCTGTGGGCAGTTCTGTGTTCAGTTTATCAGCTTGAGCTCAGCTCCTCGAGTGGGTGTCTGGAAAGGCCTGTGGGTGGGACCAGAGCTCCCTGTGTCCTGGAGGTGGAGGGCAGGTATCTGTCTGGACTCCCGTCCTCTGTTCTGGAGTGGGTGGGCTTGGGGACTCCCCGCTCAGCCACAGACCCACCCTCCATCCTCCCCTCTGTTTGGGCTGACGGTGTCTCGGCCCTGGGCACCCCCCAGGTCGGGGAGGGCTTGGGAGCTGGCAGCCACATGTGGTCATGCACACGCCAGAAGAGGAGCTGGCGACCGCCGGTGGGGGTGGGGCTGGGATGCAGTCCCTCGGCTGAGGGTGGCCGCCTCTTTGGCAGATGGTAGGCCTCGGCTGTGGCTTCTGGTTCCCAGCCTGGGGACAGGAGCGTGTTGAGCCAGTCTCTGTCCCAAGAATGCATTTCCTCCTCTGTGATTCCTGCTGGCTCTGTGATTCTTGGTCTCAGAGAAACCTTCATGAAGGCCCGCGTCCTCTGACGCTGTGGCCCTGGCTCTCTCCGTGGGTGACCTGAGCAGCAGTGGCATGTGGAAGATGGCTCTGTCCGGTTCCAAGGGAATACTCAGCCGAGTGTGGACAGTTATGTATTATCTGGCTTGGTATTGGGTCGAAGCAGTTGCCTGGCCTAGTGCCTGTCTCTCTGCCTGTAACACCTCCTTCCCCTGCCTGGGAACGGTCACTCGTGGTGTCTCTGAGGTGGCCGATGCCGCGGTGTGGGGGAGCAGACATCTCACAGCCTCCCCGACCTCATCCATGTGGACATGGGCGTGGGCCCAGGGGAGCAGATGGTGGGGCCCTGAGCGAGCGCCTTCCTCCAGTCCCCCCCTCCCGTGAGGAATGGCGTCTGGAGCTCAAGGGACACCGTCTGTCTGCGTCCACGCCAGCCAGGGATGACTCAGGGGCGGCAGGCTCTCCTGGTGCACACCCACACCCTGGTGAGGCCCTACCGGTCTCTCCTAGGGTGGAGGAGATCAGGCACTCGCCCTGGGGCTTGCTGATAAAACCCCCTTTGTCCTGGAAAGGAGGAGGCAGCCAGGCAGGGGCTAAACACAGGGTGACGGCATTTAAAGTTTGGAGCAGACTGGGGCTGCTCGGCTGGCCAGATGAGGTGGGCTGCTGCCCCAAACATGCTGTCCCCAGGCAGAGCTGGGCCGACCAGCCGCGGGGAGCAGCGAAGGACAGCCGGGATGGCCAGGCGGGGGGCTGTTGGCTGCAGATGGCATGCTGACCACCCCCATACCCCTTGGGCCTTTCGGCAGAGTCTGGCTGTGGCTGGTGGCCTTGCGTGTGAGGGTGGCCCCCAGGCAGGGACAGAGGAGGAGGGGCGCGAGGACTGTCGGGGGCGGCCCCCTGGCCTCTCCTGCTGCTGCTGCAATCCTGCCCGCGCCGTGTCAGGAGGGCCGGGCCTGAGACCGGGGGCAGCACCTCCAAAGCGGATGCCCCCCGCGGCAGGAGGACACGTTGTAGGGTCTGGCTCCTGGACTTACTGGCACATTCGTATCCCTTGGGGCTGAGCCCAGACGGAAATTTGCCTGGCTCCTGGAACGCGTGGGGGAAGATGCCTGTGAACGCTGTCCCGTGCGTTGTGAAAGTGACCCGAGGGACTGGGTTTCCTCTCGGGTGGTGACAGCGCCCTGGACCTGGGTTGTGGTGGCGGCTGCAGGGCTGTGAATGTGCGTGGCGCCGCTGGTGACACATTTCATGCTTTGTGTGTTTGGCCGCAGTGTTCACAGAAAGTGGCCCCTGGTCGCTTTGAAGTCCTGGTGGCTGCGGCCACTGAAGGCAGGGGTGTGGGGTGGCGAGGAGGGGCTTCTGCCGGGGCCTGGGATGCTGGTGCGGACGCTGCATCCCCGCAGCCCCAGGTCTGGGGGACGGGGATGGGCCAGGGCATGGGCGGGGAGCCCGGCTTAGATGTCTGACTTAGATGTCTGGCCTGTCGCACCTCAGACACACCTCAGTGTTGACCTTCTGACCTGTCCCTACCACAGGTTGCCGAATTGCAAGGCAGGAAGCTTCCCTGTGACTCCCCATCAGAGTCTGGCCTCTCTGCCAAGCGCGTGTTCCCAGAGTGCCGTGTTAGGCCCAGAGCTGCACCAGGGAGCTCTGGGGCTTCTCTTAAGGCTGGTGAGCCAGACCCCCCGGGCACTGGAGCCCCCGTCCCAGGTCATTCTCACGGACCCAGGGCTGCCCAGGTGGCAGTGACCGCCTGGGCACTCTCCCCTGCAGTACCTCGT